ACATGGCCAGCAAGCCACTCCCACAAAGCAGGCCACACCTACAGAAGAGGTTCTAAAAAAAATTGAAACCCACCACTGGGAACATGTCTCCATTCAGTCTTCTTCACAGTGGGGATGAATGGAAGATCTCGTTTGATATGGACCATTCTATACAATTTGTTTTATTTATTATATATGTGCTTCTATGTTGCATGCATTTACATTATGAGCCATTGTAGTTTATATACACAGAATATACATTTTTCTACACGGGTAGTCCTCATTGGTTCCATTTAGTGACCGTTCAAAGTTACAACGGCACTGATTTAGGACTGTTTTTCACATGAGCTCCCTAATCACGTGATCAAAATTCAGTTGCTTGGCAACCGCTTCATACTTACGACCGTGGAAGCATCCGGGTGGTGGTGGTGGTCACATGATCCCCTTTTGCGACCTCCTGACAAGCAAAGTCAACGGGGAAACCCGATTCACTTAACAACCGGGTTGCTAATGTTCAGTACTGCAGTGTTACGCTTAACAACTGTGGCAAGAAAGGACATAAAACGGGGTGAAACTCACTTAACCAAAGGTCTCACTTGACAGGAGAAGAGTTGGGGGGGGGTGCACTCCGTCGTGGTCGTAAGTCGAGGACTGCCCGCCTCTGTCACCACAGGGCTCTTTCAAGGCGGCGCCAATAGCTGCGTGGAAGCCACGCCCTTGGCTCCTCCCCGAGGCGCCGGTGCCAAGCCCGGATTGGCTCGCCCGGTTGGCTTGCCCCCGCCTCCCCTCCTCGCCCCGCCCCCTTGGCCATAAATCACCTGTTGCGGCTTCCGGCCGGGCTGCGAGAGGGGAGCCGGAAGTGGCTGCCTCGGCGGCGAGATGGCGTCCGCAGGCTCCCCGGTGGACCGGCTGCCCCCGCCCTTCCCGGTGGAGGCGGAGGCGGCCGAGGCGAGTCCCGGAGACCCCCAGCCGGACAGCGATTCGGACGGGGAGGACATCTTCACTGGCAACGCCGTGAGTGCCCGGGAAGGGGGTGGGGTGGAGCTGCCCAGCCGTTTTTGCGTGGGGAGGGGGGGTCGTGGTGAGCCGTGCAAAAGATGGGAGCCCCCCCCCCCAAACACACACACACACCCGGCTCCCTCCTGCAGCTTGGGAAAGTTTCCCCTGGGTTGCTCTCCCAGGATGTATGTATATATGTATGTGTCTGTGTGTATGTGTGTGTGTGTGTTTGGGAAGACTACAGCTCCCATCATCCCCAGCCGGGCCCTTGCAGCCCCGGCCTCCCCTGCAGATAATGAGGTGGATCTCGAACCCTCCCCCTCCCTCCAAGTGCAACCAAACTATGGCAAGCTTGGAGCAAAGTCGCTTCCCCCCCCACTCCCTCTCTCCCACCCGCAGAAGGACCCCCTTCCCCACCCGAGATTTGCACCCCGGGAAGCCCCAGAGGAGGTTTTTTTGGGGGGAGTTGTTTTGGGGGTGGGGGGAGCCGCTTCCCTTCCTCGATTTTGGATCTGGGGAGCCGCTTCTCTTCCTCGATTTGGGTCGGGGGTTGCTTTGGGGTGGGTGGGGAGCCGCTTCCCTTCCTCGGTTCCATGGGAAGGAGGGGGGGGGGTGTTGGCCTGGATGGAAAGAGGGGAAGGGATGCCTTTTGCAACCAGGCGCCCTTCAGGGGCGGTGGTGGTGGTGGTGGTGGAAGGACTTGGCCCAGGATGATGGGAGTGGGAGTCCGGCCTCTCCCCGGCTCTCTGTGTCTGTCCCTGGGGGTGCAACTTGGGCACCCCCCCTCCATTACTGCTTAAGGAGCACCACTTGGTTGTTCTGCCCTAGGAAACCCCTTTGTAAAGCTCCATCATGGGCTTGTTTTGCAAAAAGAAAAAAAGAAAAAGTTGCAAAAGTGGTTTGTTTGCAGGGAGAAGAAACCCTGGTTGTTGGAGTTTAGGGTTGAAAACCCTGCTTGTTTTGCAACAAGAAGCGTTGTCCCCATCCTCTCTCTGGCTCTGCACCCCGTCCATTGCCTTGTGTTGATTTGCTTCCTCTTGCAAAGGGACTTTTAATCTTAACCATTCAGTGGGAACAACCTGGGTGGTCCTTACTCGCTTTCAAATCCCTTTGCAGAGCTGTCCATTATTATCTTGCTTGGCTGAGCTTCCAGCGAATTCCATTCACACAAAGACTTAAATCCTGGAAAGGGAAAGTCGTCTTGTCGGGATTTCCAAATCTAGCCTAATGGGCCTGGGATTCCTTAGTGGTCTCCCATCCCTGTAAGCAACCGGATCGGATTCTGCTTAAAACTTTTTAAACCAGGCGAGGCCAACTGAATTTTTGTTTTCTTCTAAAGTCGTGCAAACATTTAGCCGTTTATTTGTTAGAGTCCTATCTCGCCTTTTGGTCAGGGGTTCAAGGTGGCATCCACAGCGTTCCTGCCTCCCATTTTATCCTTGCAGCGGTAACCCTGAAAGATAGGCTGGGCTGAGAGAAGGCCAGAGTCATAAATGGGATTTGGGAGGGGGGGTGATAACATTTATCCTGGGTCCCCCCAATCCTAGTCCAGTATTTAAAATCTATGCCACAAATACACAGCATGTGTTTACAATTGATAAACTCCTGGGTAGCTTACCATTTTTTTAAAAAATAAAAAAATAAGGTAATGTCTTGGAATTTTGTTGTGCTTGTCTTTTAAGTTCTGTTGGTTTTCTTTTTAGCTGCATTTGTATCATAGATGTATAAACTGCTTATGGAATACACGCTAATTGGTATCTTAACCTCTTTTAGTAATCTTTTAATAATTCTGCAGATTTCCCAGCGGTAACGATGCTAATTTTATAATCTTGTGGATTATAAAGTTCCTAGCCAATAGCCTGGCATTGCCCGGGTATTTATAAAGGGAAAATGTCCAGACCAAATATACTTTCTAATGTTGGATTTTCCCCCTTGCAAGAGGGAGCCCCCTTGTGGAGTACTGTGGAGCCGTTACATGGTGGCACATACATACATACATACAGCCTTTTGTATATAAAATAAAAATAAAAATATAAGAATAGATAGATAGATACAGACAGACAGATTGATAGATAGATAGATTGAAAGATAGATAGATAGACAGACAGACAGACAGATTGAAAAATGTGCAACTCCATTTTACGGCAGTACAGTAGAAGCCATTGAAAGGCACAACAGGCTGCATCTTAACAGAACACACACGCCCCACGAGGGGTGTTAGGAGTGTCTTACCCCCCCCCCCACAGTATTTTTCTCCAGAGAGTAAGTCACTTGTCTACCAAGTTTGATTGAAATTGCTTGAGGCACTCCAGAGTTATGCTGGAACATACATACATACATACAGCCTTTTATATATAAAATAAAAATAAAAATATAAGAATAGATAGATAATCTATATACAGACAGACAGATTGATAGATAGATTGAAAGATAGATAGATAGATTGAAAAATGGATAGATAGATAGATTGAAAGATAGATAGATTGAAAGATAGATTAAAAGATAGATAGATTGATTGAAAGATAGACAGACAGATAAAGATAATAGCATCTGCCGTTAAACTGTCAGCACTCATAAAAATTATCCTTATGGCTGGAAAACTTATCTGAATGGAAGTGAAGTTTCTGTGGTCCTGTCGCTTTTGACAGCAATCCTGGGGTGTGATAAATGGATGCAAAGGTCCTTTAAATGCAGTTTTGATACAACAGTTATGTCTCAATCTCTGCTTCAAAACAACAACAAAAATCTTAAGTGAATTTCAAGGCGAGGAGAATATATAGAGACTGGGCCTTCTTGCGCTACAAAAATCCAGAAAGAGTTAACTGATTGTCAAAGGAGAAAAAAAAAAGTCAGGGGTTTTGAGGCCGGGCCGCACCCTTGTTCCAAGGGAAAATGCTGAATGTAGGCAAATTTATGCAATAACTGCACACACACACACACAAAAGGAATACAGATGGAGCGAAACATCTTGCGGAAAAGAAACCAAAATTTGGCATTTAGTTTCTGAGGGTGGGGTAGGGAAGAGTTAGGCACATGTGCAACAAAAGCAGCCTGCCGTTGCACAACTTTTCAGCAGGAAAAGCCTAAAATGTGGGAAGCACCTCCCATCATGGGTCAGCATGCTTTGGACTCTTTTGTGAAAATGCTAACGGCGCTGGTGGGGGTCTAACAGAAAACAAACCCTTGGAGGTAAAAGAATTCACCCTTTTGAAACCGTATTGTGGAATGCAGAGTTCCTGGAAAAGCGGTCGTAAAACTAGAACAGAAAGAACACATCTTTATTTGGTGGCAGAGCAGCATGATAAAACGCAAAAGTCAGAAATCGACCAGCACAATGAAACTTCTGTTTTTGCCAAAGGTTAGGGCTAGGAAAGAATGAGGAGGCCGCCGGCACTTTCCCTGACTGACAAATTGTATTCAAAAACTTTCCTGAACCGTTGCAGCTCTCGGTTTAAACCCTCTGCAAATCTGAGGAAGTGAGCTGCGGCTTTGGAAAAAGCTTTAAATGAAAAAAAAAAGAAAATACTCTCAGACTTAACTCTGCTTTCCTCCTGCGGTGTCGCCGAACGAGGGTTTGCATAATAGCTCAACACTCCTGGCCCACCTTACGTTGTGAGAAATGCCGAAAGGCTTTTCGTGTTTGCAGAAAGGATAAGAAAGCTGCCTGGATTCTCACGGGTTCAGACAAACAGGCAAGTTACTTTGACCTGCAGCTTCAAGGGCTTGTTGTGGCCCACCAGCCGGCAGCAGGTTCGGACAGTGAGGAGGTTGGGGAGGAACATGGGTCAGTCCTGGAGCCTGGTGAAGGCTCGGATGAATGCTCTGCGTCGGAGGGAGAGAGGGGGCCAAGGCCATCTGGTAGAGCCTCCGGTGTCTGACATCATCAAGGCAGAAGAACAGTGGGAGCCTGTTCCCAGTGTGCGCATGCGCAGAGCTGCCAGAAGGCAAGAACAATTAAGTAAACAGTCGACTTGGGAGTAAGGCTTGGAGATGATTGGCCCCTCCCATAAGACATACAAGAGGAGTGAATGGGAGGTGAGCCTTTGCAGGAAGCAATTAGTTCATCTAGTCAGTTCAAGCTTTGAAAAGTTATGTTTGACTCGGTGCTAAGTTTGGCCTTGCTCTGCATTTGGCAGTTAGGTCTCTGGCAGCATTCCCAGGGAGATAAAGTGGGTGTTTATCAACATTTCCCCTGAAAGACCGTGGCAACTCAAGCAGACATCTGTCAGAATCTTCACAGACTGTTGGTGAAGCCTTGCGGGCTGTGAATGACCATCATTCACAGCCATGTAAATAAAAGAGGGTTTTGGGGACCAAGATTGTGATTTATGCTTTCTCGGGGAAGCCTAGGACAAAACAGGGCTAAGAACTTCCTCAGGTGTCACCTGCAGCAGGGGGACTTCCAAAAACCCGGCTTTTGTTTTAAAACCACTTGTTCAGCGCACACAAAGCCCTGAGTTTTAGCACCCACAGTTGCGTCTCTGGCGCCTCTAGGAGCCGTCACCCTGTTCAGAGAGCTATTGTCTTTGGGCAAATGCCCTCTTGCTCAGCGAGGCAGACAGTGTCAAGGTGTCTCCAGATACCAAAGTGGGGAGGAGGAGGAGGAAGAAGAAGCAGGGAGCCTTTATAAACCATGTGCTTGTTTGACAAAGCAGCCTTGGAAAAGACATTGTTAATTTACCGTATTTTTCGGAGTATAAGACGCACCGGAGTATAAGACCCACCCAGGTTTTGAAGAGGCATGTTTTTTTTAAAAAGGTAGAGAGAGGGATAGAGAGAGAGAGAGAAAGAGAGACAGAGAAATACAGTAAGGGAGGGAGGGAGGGAGGGAGAGAAAGAGAGAGAGAGAAATACAGTAGGTAGGCAGGTAGGTAGGAGAGAGAGAGAAATACAGTAGATAGGGAGAGAGAGAAAGAGTAGGGAGGGAGGTAGATGAAGGGAGAGAGAGAGAGAGAAATACAGTAAGTAGTAGGTAGGTAGATAGAGGGATAGAGAGGGAGAGAAAGAGAGAGAAATACAGTAGGGAGAGAGGGAGAGAGAGTAGGTAGGTAGGTAGGTAGGAGAGAGAGAAATACAGTAGATAGGGAGAGAGAGAAAGAGTAGGGAGGGAGGTAGATGAAGGGAGAAAGAGAGAGAGTAAGTAGTAGGTAGGTAGATAGAGGGATAGAGAGGGAGAGAAAGAGAGAGAAATACAGTAGGCAGAGAAGGAGAGAGAGTAGGTAGGTAGGTAGATGTTTCCAGGTGTATTTATCCATGTGCTGGAGAAGGAAATCACTGACAACCTGTAGCACTTAAAACTCATCAACCACTCTAACAAAACAGCTTTCCAAAAGTGGGGGGGGAAAGGTTTTTGCACTCTGCAAACCCCCTAGAGTCAGGAACAACTAGCACAGATGTGCGAGTCTTACCTTTGCCTTGTCACAGTTGTTAAGTGGAGCATTGCAGTTGTTGAGTTAATAGCACAGTTGTACAATGCATCTGGCTTCCCCGTCGACTTTGCTGGTCGGAAGGTCGCCAAAGGGGAAAATCGCATGACCCCCGGGACTTTGCAACCGACATAAATACATGCCAGTTGCCAAGCGCCCAAATTTTGATTCACGTGACCATGGGGTTGTTAAGTGCAAACAAAAACAGTAATAAGTCATCTTTTTTTCCCCCCAGTGCTGTTTTTAGTCTCGTAACGGTCACTAATTGAACTCTTGTAAGTCGAGGATGACCTCTGTAGGCCAGGACTGCAAAAACTCTTTGCCTAGGTCTTTCTGCTTGCGTGTTACTAACCAGATTTAATTCTGCAACTTGGACTAAGGCGCACTTCTCTATCCTAATAGAGCAAGCCAGAGTTCCCCAAGAAGGAATCCCCAGTGCCGCCGGAGAACAGCTTAAAGACCAATGGCATCCAGGAAGAACAAGACAATCTGGATCTATTTGCAGGTTGGTAGTGGTGGAAAGAGGCGGATAATTTGTTTTGCCCAACTCGGGATAACTCTGAGCGGCTAACAGCAATCGGAGACCCTACAATCAAATCAATAAAAAAGGAAAGATAAAAGATGTCAAAGAGCCATCAAGTAAGGGTGGCCCAGATCAAGTAGCTTTGTGATATATCTTCTTGGATTTGATTTGATTTGATTGTCAGTTTCTTGACAATCAGCTTTCTTGCGGCTCTCGGGCCTGCCACACTATCTATTATTCGACTATGCCTTTTTCTATTGTGGGGAAATGGGAGGTGGGATTGTACGGAGTTTAGATGCTATGTAGCCATAACAACATTCTTTCTAGAAAGCCAAGGTCATCTTTTGTCTCTGCACCTGACGGGAACTGGATGGGTGGAAGCTGCCAGCGTGGCAGTGGGCGATTGGACCATGTGATGGGCTCGCGGGTGTGGCGGGCAAGATCTTGAACTTTCAACTGGGTGGGGAAAACCGGGGAAGCTTCCAGATTCGGGTTTCCCCAGATGTGCCAACATGGCTCTCTTCATAAATTGGGACTTTGAGCAATACTTTGCCTTGGACTCTGATTTTACTTCTGGATGCTGTTTGGAACCCTGACAAAATGATTCCACTTAGTGATGTGATTCTGCCAGGAATATCTTTCCTGTTCCTAGAAGTCAAGAAGTGACTCAACTCTGGGATGAAATTCTACAGAGAGGGAATTTCATCAATGGCTTTTTTTTTTAAAATCAATTTGTTCTTTTACAGATGCCACTGTCGAATTGTCCCTGGATAATACCCAAAACCATCCAAAGAAGGAGACAACGCCAGAGCTCAGCCCTGTCCCCTCTCTGGAAAAACCAACTCCTTCCTCTTCTAAACAGCAGTCCAAATCCGAAGAGGAGGTAGGCACTTGTGTGTTTGGCTAATTATCTACTCGGTGTAGCTACTTGTATGTTCAGCTGTGTCTTGTGTAATAGGGAAGGAGCCCTCCCTCCGTCTCCTTTCATTCCCAGCACGTGGCACAACAATGAGGTGCCGCCAAGAGCTTTCCCCACACCAGCCCTGTCCTCCGGGAAGTCCCAGTCCAGCAATAAAAATCTCTTCTCTCCCTAAAATAATAAAGCTAGATTGGTTGTCACCAGAGGTGGTATTCACTTACCTTCCCTAAAGGTAAAGGTTCCCTTTGCACATATGTGCTAGTCATTCCTGACTCTAGGGGGAGGTGCTCATCTCCGTTTCAAAGCCGAAGAGCCAGCGCTGCCCAAAGACGCCTCTGTGGCCGATATGACTAAACGCTAAAAGGCACACTGAACACTGTTACCTTCCCACCAAAGGTGGTCCCTATTTTTCTACTTGCACTTTTTACGTGCTTTTGAACTGCTCGGTTGGCAGAAGCTGGGACAAGTAACGGGAGCTCACTCCTTTACGCGGCGCTAGGGATTCGAACCGCCGAACTGCCCAACCTTTCTGATCGACATGCTCAGCGTCTTAGCCGCTGAGCCCCCCCCTTCCCTACCGGTTCGCAAATGTAAGCACACACACCTCCTGGGCACATGTACTCAGCCTTCCGTGCATGAGTTTTGGCTTCAAAACGTGCCTAAACAGGACGGCATAGTGCCTACCTGCAGGAGCCGAGGTGGCGCAGTGGTTAAATGCAGCACTGCAGGCTACTTCAGCTGACTGCAGTTCTGCAGTTCGGCTGTTCAAATCTCACCGGCTCAGGGGTTGACTCAGCCTTCCATCCTTCCGAGGTGGGTAAAGTGAGGACTCGGATTGTTGTTGGGGGCGATATGCTAACTCTG